GGCGGGCGCGGCCGGGGGCCCGCGGGGTCCGCCTGGCTGCCGCGCCCGGTGGGCACGGAGGGGGCTGCCACCCCCGTGGGTGTAAAGGAGGACTCGTGCCCCCTCTTGCTCCGAGGGCAGGGAGGGGTTCCCTCCGGGCTGCACCCCCCACGCAGCCCCGTGGGACTGGGGATCCCCGTGGGGTGCACAGCATCCCCAGTGGGTGATGGGGTCCGTGGTGTACCCCCAGTGGGCAGGCGATGGGGCTCCCCAGTGGACCAGGCCTGCATCCCAGCAAGGGCTGTCTGGGGTCTGTGCTTGGTCCCAGAGGGTTTGACGTTGGGGTTCCCTCTCAAACCTCAGGATGTGGGGTGAATCTTGAGCCAGGACTTGCCAGCTGTGGGGCAATTTCTCCCCCATGTGCTCAGGCTGGGTTCCCTGGGTTGGATGGATCCCTGTCTCTGTGTCTCAGTGGCCCCAGCTAGGGCAATGAGGGGCATTCAGGTGGAGCTGAGGAGCAATGACAGCCTCGTCACTGTCCCCACGGACAGGAGAGGCCTTTGGGGTGCAAAATGGAAGGCATTTCCATTGGGGACGTTGTGGTCCCAGGCCCTGCAGACTAATCCTGATCTCCTGCCTCCAGTCTGCAGGGGCAGGGCCTCAGGAGTCTGCTCTCTACATGGGCATAGGGAGGCTGCTGCCACTGTGCTCTGGCTCCTTCCACTAACCCAGGCCCACAGGGCCTCCTTGTGCTGGCTGTAGAGCAGTGGTTTCACCTCTCTGCACATAGGGCCTGGAGAAGTGTTGACGGCTGCGGTCATAAATGCAGTCAGGCAGGCTGGAGCTGGGTGTAGTCGGAGCTGCACTGTGGGGGCGAGCACCGTGGGGACGGCGCTTGCCTGAGCTGCGCCGCGGCTGTATGGCTGCCTGTGCTTGCGGCTAGCCGCCTGGTAGAAGCCCTGTGGTCTCCACTGGGGAGAGCTCAGGACCTGGAGTATGCCTCCTTCAAAGCCTCTTCTCTCCCAGCAGCAGAGACCCCTTCATGGGGCTGGCCTTGTGACCCTGGTGTGCAGCTCTCGGTGTTCTCTGGGGCTGGGGGGCAGATGGGGCTGTACTTCAGCTGTGAGTCTCAGTGGTGCCTCATTCTCAGTCCTAACATAGCAGCTCGTCCCAGGGGCATCCCCCCAGGTGGGCTCTTGAGGACCTCATCATGCATGCTTGCCCTCTTCCTCCTGGTGGAGCACACTGCAGTGTTTCTGTGGGCTATGTCCCTGGCAGGGTTGCCTTCCCTTTGCAGCCCTGCACTGCTGGGCACTCGGCCAACAGCTTCTGGGTCAGCTGTCTGTGTCTGTCGGCAGCCTCTGCCTGGCTTCTTGCAGGCTGGGGTTAGTCAGGTTGTCTTTCTACAGTCAAAGCACCTGCCTGTGTCCAGCCTTGTGCCTGGAATAGTTTCCCTAATCTTCAGATAAGATAAAACACCAGTGAAAATACCGTAAAAACATAAATGCCCTGAGAGGCTTGTGTGGGGGAGAGGGAGGTGCTGGCTGAATCCCACCAAGGACAGGATGCCATGGGGTGTGGCCCACATGCATGGGGCTGTTGTGGATGGGTGTGCTGGGCTGGAAATGGCACAGACAAACTCCCAGGAACAGATTTGCTTCAGTTTCATGAACACCAGCCCCTCTGGGATCACCTGCAGCTGCCATAGTTGTGCTTTATTTTCTCTTCTTTTTTTCTCTAGCTGGTTTCCAGAATGGAGGAGCCACTGTCAATGGAGATGTCTTTCAGGTGAGAGCTCAGCCCCTTGCCCCAGCCCAGTGGTGCTAAGGGGAATTGGGTTGGTATGGGGCCAGCATTCCGCTGCCCTGCCCCCAGGATTGACTGGAGTTTGCTATCCAGCCACAGAACAGCGGTGGTGCTCCTGGAAAGGTCTGGGTCTCATGGGGGAGTCCTGGCAGCTCCACTTTCACCCCTCTTTGAAGAGAAGGTTGGTTCCACCTGCCAGGACCTGCCCCAAATCTGTTTGCAGGTGGCCTGTGCCCTGAAGGAATGCCTGGGCCCTAGGAGCAGATGACAAATCCTCTATTCCCCACAGAAGCCCCCTCTCTCCAGCCTGAGTAGCTCCTAGAGGCCTCCGGAGCAGTCAGGACCATCTCTTGGCAGAGGCCAGAGCCAGGACAGGGCTGCCATGGGACACCCGCTTTGCTGACTTGGCAGCATCTCCCATTAAACCCACTTGCCACATGGCCAAGGGTGTTTCATGGGGCCACCCGCCTGGGTCTCAGCTCCCTCTGGGAGCCTGAGGCCCAGCTCTGCTGGCTACAGGAGAAGCTGTGCCAGCATCTGACAAGCCCTTCACCACACTCAGTGCCCAGCAGCGTGGCATGTGCATTGCCCGTGCCTAGTTTATGCGATGATAATCACATCAGAAACGGCACAGGCTTAATTAGATTGGGGATCTTGGAGGAAAGCCGTAATCCCATTGATGAGCTCGGTGTTAGGCTGGGCATCCCAGCCAGCAGAAGGTGTTAGGGAGGGGTGCTGAGCCAGCATGGTGCTGGGCCTGGTGGGAAGCCGTACAGGCAGCTTGGCTCAGGAGCGAGGGAGGCTCTTGCCTGCAGGCTGGTGTCCAGGCAGAGAGCAGTACCTCCCTTGGGCCCTGCTTCTTGCCTGGGCTCTCCCTGTCTGCTGTGGCCAAGCCTGTAATGACGCTCCGTCCTGGGGCTGCCTTGGCCTGAGTCAGGGCCAGGGAAGCGTGGTGCTGGTGGCGAGCATGTCACAAAGCCGGTGGCTGTCCTCTGCTGTGGGGCTGCCCGGAGGATGTGAGAGCTGCATTGGCAGCAAGTGGCAAGTCAAGGAGGGGAACGCTGGCAAGTCTTTCTGGGTGACAGGGCCTGGGGCTGGGACAGCAGCTTGAGCAGCGCTTTGGGGACACTGTCCCAGATGTCCCAGGCTGTCACCCTCCCTAACTCCTATCTTGGCTTGTCTGAGTGCTTGGAGTGTGGAGTCCTGCCCTGCTGCCAGGACTGGGTGGCTGGGCTGTGGGAAGAGCTGGGGCTGATGGTGAGGTGCTCATTGCCTGCAGGAGTCCAACGGTCCCACGGATGCCTATGCAGCCATAGCCAAGGCTGACCGCCTGACCCAGGAACCTGAGAGCATCCGCAAATGGAGGGAGGAGCAGAAGAAGCGCCTGGAGGAGCTGGGTGAGACCCAAGGCTGTGTGTGGCCATGCTCATGGTACCTCATGATGTGGCAGTTGGGGCCCTTGGGGTCCCTCACCTGGAGGTGACCCTGCTGCATCCCAGAGAGGTGTCTCATGCCCCACACTGTGTGGGAGCCCCTGCCAAAGATCTGCTGTCCTTGGGGCAGTGATACCTTTCAGACAGTACTGGTGGAGACTGGGGACAGGCCTGGGGGGCTGCAACTGTCCTGCCTGCTGAGGGGCTGCCCAGCAGACCCAGTGGGTGCCAGTCTGGCTGATGGGGTCTGTCTCACTCTGGCCTTAGATGCGGCATCAAAGGTGACTGAGCAGGAATGGCGTGAGAAGGCCAAGAAGGACCTGGAGGAGTGGAACCTGCGTCAGAACGAGCAGATGGAGAAGAACCGGGCAAACAACAGGTACATCAGAGTCAGCGTGGCCATGAGGGCTGCGATGGGAGCTTCTGTGCAGGCCCATCTGCCGCCTTGCGATGTCTGGGGGCCTCTTTCACCACAGTAGGGCCCAGCCCTGCAGGGACGGAGCTTTGCCAGGCAAGGGGAGAGGCCCCAGGGCTTCAAGCTGCTCCAGTGGCTGTGCAGAGCCAGCCTGTCTGGAACCACACTGGGATCACTCTGGGATCTTAATGCCTCCTGCCCCCCACGTGGGCCTCGCATCAAGGCAGGGTTGGGGCACTGTCTGTGCAGCCCTGCCATCACCGGCAGGTTTTCCTGGTGACGGTTATGCTGTGATGAGTGCGTTGTGCTCTGTTGGGAGGATGCTAATCCCCTCTCTGTTTCTCTCTTTCTAACCCTCTGCCTGCCTGTCTGCTCTGCGCTCTCTCTCTGTCTGTGCCTCGGGGGCTAGGATCGCTGACAAAGCCTTTTACCAGCAGCCGGACGCCGATGTGATTGGCTATGTGTATGTGCCTCTTACAGACCATATCCTGCCCCGCAGGGTCTGGGGGTCCTGGACCCAGCACTGGCTGCCCAGCCAAGGGAAGGGGGGATGCTGGGAGGTACTGGGCCCTGGAGAGGTCCTGGAGGGAGGATGATGCAGCTGAGCATCTCTAAATGGTGGAGTCTTAGGAGGCAAGTGGAGCTCCTGGAAATGCCCCCATGGCATTCACCCATGGCTGGGTGAAGAGGCAAAGCTGTGGGGTCTTGTGCCTTTTGAGGGATGGCTCTGGGGGTGGAGAAGTCTTGGGAGCAGGCAGACACCCCAGTGCCCCTGGATGAATGATGTCTTTGGTGAGTGCAGCCAAGAGCAGCCTTGAGCATCGTGTGTCTCTGGATCCTGGAGGATGCTGAGCTCATTGGCTGGAGCAAGGGGACAGGAAGCGGGGACACGAGGGGTTCCCAGACAAAGGGGAGGGTCTCCTTGGAAAAGGGTTCTGCTAGTGACAACCCTCAATGTCTCCACAGGGCCTCAGAGGAAGCATTCCTGAAGGAGTCCAAGGAGGAAACCCCGGGCTCCGAGTGGGAGAAGGTGGCCCAGCTCTGTGATTTCAACCCCAAGAGCAGCAAGCAGAGCAAGGATGTCTCACGGATGCGCTCGGTGCTCATCTCCCTCAAACAGACACCCCTGTCCCGCTAGCTGCCACCTGGCACAGCTGGGAACACAGCAGGGCAAGGCCAGGCTCACTGAGCCGGGCAGCTTCGTGGGGCCAGCCCAGGAGGGTCCTCACCCTGCCTGCCCCCTGCTCCCTGGTGTGCACCTCGGCTGTGCTGGAGTCACTGGTTGTAACTCTCCTCATGGTTTTCCTTTGCTTAAAAGGTGCATCAGTCTCTTTTTACACTTATTTATTACTGTGGGATTTCCCTGGGAAGCGACACTGGGTGGCAGATCTGAGTTAGTGGGGAGCCTCTGGCCTGGGCTCTGCAGGAGTTTGTACCCAGGGGCATGGCTGAGTGAGAGGGGGAATGCTCCACCCTGCGTTCCCCACCTCACCCCTATGCTGGGAATAAACCTGCCTGCGGCTGTCCTGGTGCTGGGCAGCTGCAGGCATGGCAGCCCCGTGTCTGGGCTTGGGGCTTAGCCCCGAGGCAGTGATCCTAGTGGGACCCAGGGCTGCCGTCTGCCTTTCCTGCGGGGTTTCGAGCAGGGCTGGGAGGGTGGAGGAACAGCTCCGAATCTGCTCCACACTGCTAGGTCCTGCAGGGAGCACAGCTGCAGCGTGGTGCTGCCAGGTTAGCAGGGACTGAGGAATATGAGTGCAGGCACCCAGGCTGGGCCGGGACTGCTAGCAGTTCCCCCAAGCCCAGCAGAACTCTCCCCAGCCTGGCTGTGCACCCCAAAAAGCTGGTGGGGCTCCAAGCGGTAGTTGCAGTGTCCATGTCTGATCCACCCTGTGGGGCTGCTGGCGCCAGGCAGCACTGTGGTGCAGGGCACTGGGAAGGGGCCATGGGGTGAGTGTGCAGGATGTTTTCTGTCCCTCCGCCAAGTCCACCAGCGGTTGGGAACATGGGGTGCCAGTCTTTGGGGGCCCTTGGCTCTGCTCTGCTCCTTCCCCTGCTACTAGGACGGAAGATTGAGGCTGCATGGTTGCAGGGAAGCGTGTAGGAAGGTCTAGATGCTGTGGGGCAGGTTGAGCCCCCAGGGGCCCAGAGCAGGATTGGGCAGAGTTCTAGTGCTTGTGCTGTCCCTGGAGAACAACCCGCACATCTGTCTGCAGCTGCTCTGTGGCTTGTCTCTGGCCCCTGCTGGATTTGCACACCTAAGGCAGTGTGGCAAGATGTCTCAGTCCCGCTCCCCGCCCCACAAGGCACACACTTCCCAGCCCAAACACTGTCTTTCTCTCCTCTGCTTGGTGGGGCCGGCACCAGCCCCTCCAGCTCAGAGGCCCAGCCCTGGAAACCTGCAAAACTCCCAGCTGGCAGGAGAGGAGCAGGCCTGCGCACACCCTGCTGCAGGGCAGCCTTGAGCTCGTGCCCCAGGTCTGGCCCGCTGGGGGCTTGGGAAAGGCTCGCAGCAGCAGGCTGGGGGGACATGGAGCAGAGCCCACAAAACATTTGCTTGAGCCTCACTGCAGAGCCCTGTTCAGCCAAAAAGCAAGTATGCAGAGCTCTCCTGCCCTGCAGCTATGGCTCCACGAGTCAGGAAGGTCACCTGCCCTGCTGCTGCAGCCCTCGTGGGGTGACTGGGCACCCTTGGCTCTGGGGCACAGGCTCAGCAGCGGGCTGGGAAGGGAAATGGTTACGTAGGGAGTCAATTGGTGTTGTGTTGCCCCCTTGTCCATAGGGCTGATTGCTCCTACTCTGTCCCCCTGCGCTCCAGCATACGTCGGCAGGTCTGCTGTGGTGCAGGGTGGACGCTGATGCAGAATACCTGGGGACTCAGCTGCCTGCCTCTGCCTTTCACTTGCAGAGCAGCGGGAAGCACCTCTGGCTGCTTACCAGGGACAGGGAGCTCCCCTGCGCTCTGTCCCTCCAGCCCCCACAGGCAGCCGGGCTCCTGGGTCCCCCAGCTGCCATGCACCCCATGTCAGCAGGGGCAGCCAGCTCCTGGGGAGCCGTGCCCACAGCTGTTCTACATCCCCTTGGCTTTAGTATCTGTGACTGTTCAAAATACCTGTTAAAATAAACCGACATCTCCAATCCTACAGGGCACTGTCGTCTTTCTGCCTCAGCAATGCACACCTGTTTAGCAGAGAACCCACAGCCATGAAGCCTCCTGTGGAAAGGACAGGGCTGGAGGAGAAGCACATCCTACAGGAAAAAATTGGAGCAAGGGGAAGGGCCAGAGGGTTTGCGCTAGCCCTGGGCAGAAGCAGTGGCAGCAGGACAGGGAGGGGACCTGCGAGCTCCTGCTTGTCCAGACAGGCCAAGCTGCTCCCCAGCCCATCTCCAGGCTGCCAGGGCTGCCAAGGGATTGCGCTTGCAGATCTGCCCACCGGCTGCCTCTCACACCCCTACCCCAAGCTGGACGGGCTAGAAGTGCCAACCAGGCAGCCAAAAACGGCTTCTTCTGGGAAAGATGTGCTGAGCAGGCAGCCAACCAGGGAAGGCAGGCAGTGCCACAGCCCCACAGCAGGCAGAGCCCCAGGCTCCCCGGTGCCAAGGTGGAGCTCACCCTGCTCAGTGCCAGTGATGGCTTGTCCCCCACCCTCGCGTCTCAGAAGTCAGCTCTGGTGGGCAAGAGCTTTCCCTCTCTCCTTGATGAGGCCCACCAGTGCAATTCCCTGGAAAAGACAAACCAAGTGCTCGTTTGTGGGCAGAAGTGGGTTTATCCCTCACCATGTCCTCCAGAGAAGCTTGTAAGGGCAAAGCAGGATCAGCAAGCTGCAAAGCCACCGCAGGCCAGGGAGGGCCAGGGCACAGGCACCTACTTGCAGACACCCAGAGAGCAACACCTGGAAAAAACCCAGGTGGCTCAACATGAGGAGGCATTGCAGCACAGCTAGTGGTGTCTGAGCCCTTTTCCCCTGCAAGGATATGCTCTGCCTACGGGCAGGTACAAGCTGCTGCAGCCACAGAGCAAATAGAGCCTACAGCCCCATGTCCTCCAGCTTTGTGGCCCTGACATGGGAGAGCAAAGCCTTGTTGCTCACTGTATTGGGTCTGCATGGCAAGGTTTTGGTAGCAGGGGGGGCTACAGGGGTGGCTTCTGTGAGAAGCTACTGGAAGCTTCCCCTACGTCTGACAGAGCCAGTGCCAGCCAGCTCCAAGACAGACCCGCTGCTGGCCAAGGCCAAGCCCGTCAGTGATGGTGGTAGCACCTCTGCGATAACATATTTAAGAAGGGAAAAAAAAGTTGCTGGGGCACAGAAACTGCAGCCAGAGAGAGGAGTGAGAACATGTAAGAGAAACAACCCTGCAGACACCAAGGTCAGTGAAGAAGGAGGGGGAGGAGGTGTTCCAGGCACTGGAGCAGAGATTCCCCTGCAGCCCGTGGGAAAGACCATGGTGAGGCAGGCTGTCCCCCTGCAGCCCATGGAGGTCCACGGTGGAGCAGATATCCACCTGCATCCCGGGGAGGACCCCACGCTGGAGCAGGTGGGTTCCCGAAGGAGGCTGTGACCCCGTGGGAACCCCATGCTGGAGCAGGCTCCTGGCAGGACCTGTGGACCCATGGAGAGAGGAGTCCACGCTGGACCAGGTTTGCTGGTGGGACTTGTGACCCCACAGGGGACCAACACTGGAGCAGTCTGTGCCTGAAGGACTGCACGGCATGGAAGGGACACATGCTGAAGCAGTTCATGAAGAACTGCAGCCTGTGGGAAGGACCCACATTGGAGAAGTTAATGGAGAACTGCCTCCTGTGGGAGGGACCCCACACTGGAGCAGGCGAAGAGTGTGAGGAGTCCTGCCCTGAGGAGGAAGGAGCAGGAGAGACAATGTGCAATGAACTGACCGTAACCCCCATTCCCCATCCCCCTGTGCTGCTGTGCGGGAGGAGACAGAGAATCTGGGAGTGAAGCTGTGCCCAGGAAGAAGGGAAGGGTGGGGAGAAGGTGTTTTAAGATTTGGTTTTGTTTCTCATTAACCTACTCTGGTTTGATTGGCAATAAATTAATTTTCCCCTAGTTGAGTCTGTTTTGCCCGTGACGGTAATTGGTTGAGTGATCTCTCCCTGTCCTTATCTCGACCCACAAGGCTTTTGTTGTATTTTCTCTCCCCTGTCCAGCTGAGGGGGAGTGATAGAGCGGCTGCGTGGTGCTTAGTTGCTGGCTAAGGTTAAACCACAACACACACCAAACACCCCTGGTATGATCCAAATGATCCAACGCCAACGACGGGACTTGGAGCCGTCCATGACGATGTTTGTCAAGACACAGGCAGTGCAGCTCCCTCTGGGAACAGGGCGTTTGCTCAGCAGCCAGCTCCAGCTCATACGAAGCAGCAAGCTGCGCAGGAACCGACTCCCCAGCAAAAGCAGTGGAAGCAGCAGCGTGTCCCAGAGAACATGGCCAGGCCCTGTTTATGGAAATGTGAGTTCCCAACTTGTTTTCACAGGGGGTTACATTTCTTATGTCCTGCTTGCATTACCACAGCTTTGAGACAGCTGTGCTTGCTCCCTTTTCTTCCTACACTGTTTACTCTTCTGGCTTCTCAATGCTCTGCAATCCAGCATCAGTCAGAATCTTGCTGCAATTCACTTTATTACTCACCAGCTGCAACCAAACAGATTACATACTCTCCCCAAAGAACTCACCCACTGCTTATGGACTCTCTCCTGCCAGGATCAAGCCATAAACAGAGCTGTTCCTTCCTACCCTAGCAGCTCATTTCTCAAATGTTGGTGCACCTCCTGACTAAAGTGACCTCAGTGCAGACCATGACCCACAGGACACAATTTTAATAGACTGTTACAGCACCAAGCAGGGATAAGAGGTCTGACGGGGATGGAGAGCCACAGCCTCCAGTGTTGCAGAACAATAAGCTCTGAGGGAATGAAAAAATGCCATGGCCCAAATTGCAGGTTAATCACAGGGGTGTATTAGCTGCGTTTCCAGCACTCTAGAACACAGAGCCTCTCTGACAGCAGGTCCACCAAGACATCACAACTGTCCCACAGAAAACTCCACGCGCAGCCAGAATCCACCCTTCCAGCTGGGGCACAGGCTGGTGGGCGCGTCCCTGCGGCCACAGCTTCCCTCTTGCCTGATTTCACTTTCTAGATTTCATGGCCGTGACCACCATGCCTCCCAGGAGGGCCGCGAAGGTGAAGCCCTGGGCCAGGATACGTGCCCGCATCATCAGCTGTGACTGACGGGTGTTGCCTCTCTTGAAGCTGATCAGTCCGTAGGTCAGGATGCCGATGGTGCAGAGGCAGCCTGCGGAGAAGAGAAGGACGGAGGGACGGCTCAGGGGAGCGGGGCAAGGCAGGGGCTTCGAGGACCAGCTCACCCCTCCTTCCCGCCTCCCCCCACGTCCCCGCCCTGCGCCTGAGCGTCGCTGGCTTGTTAGACAACAAGCTCAAACGAGAGACATGCCTCCCCGGAGGGCAGCCCCTTGGGTTTGGGCTCAAGAGGGGCCGACCCGCAGCTCACGGCCCTCCCTCCTCACCAGCCTCCATGGCCCTGGCCCTCCCCCTTCACTCCCCCCCACCGTCACCCCACGCCCCCCCCTCACCGAGGGGCACCAGGGGGTTCTCGCGGGTCTTGCGCAGGAACTTGTCCCCGAAGCCCTCATCGCTGAACACCGGTAGCGGGCTGGGCTCCAGCGGCGGGGGAGGCCCGGCCGCCATGGCTGCGACTCACAGAGGTGACTACCCGCGACCCTCCCCGGCTGCCGTAGCCAAGGAAGAGGCGCCGGCTCCCGGCAGGCCGCACGCCCCGCCCCCTCCCCCGCCGCGGGGCATGCCGGGGGTTGTAGTCCGCAGCGGGCAAACCCACCGACGGCACTGCTGGCGCGGGACTACACTTCCCGTGGTGCCCCGCGGCGCGGCCCCGCCCCGCG